GGGTGTGGGTGTGGGGTGTGGGTGTGGGTGTGGGTGTGGGTGTGGGTGTGGGTGTGGGTGTGGGTGTGGATGTCGGTTTGGATGTCAGTACAAGTAGAGCGCAAAGCACACACAGCTAGAGCCACACTCACACACCCACACCCCATTTTGTGAGTATACTACGATAGTTCGATTTGTTCTGCTGCGCCTAATAGTGTTTACTTGTTATTTTGTGAATAATAGTTTATTTTACCTTGACAGGAAAACAACTTTATTTATTTCTTCTCGTTCCTTATTCAGTATCAATATTTTTTCTTTTTCTTTACGTTAGACACCCTATCACCACCTAATTTACACAAGATGCGTACGTTGCTCATGAAATGATTTTTTTCTGAATGACTCATGCACAAATAATGCTACACATGAAATATTATCAAAATACATTTACGCTGCAAATGATATGGATGTGGGTGTGTGGGTGTTAGTGAGTGTGTGTGTGAGTGTGGATTTGGGTGTCAGTAAAGATGACATGCATCCACACTCACCCCATACCCTCAACAAAGACGTGCATTCATCCCTTCACGAACAATGTAACGAATACAAAAACAAAATAAAGAACAAGCTGGAGAGAAAGATGATTTTATTGCCTGAGAACTCTGATTTCCAACTCACCTTAATGTCTGAAAAAGTGAAAAATAAAATTGTTGATTTGTTTCTCTTTTTACCGCGTGTTGGTGACAGTGAATTTTTGTTCACAAAAATTTATAATACGACAATATTACACTACCACGTTTTTATTTCTGCCGTTTTGCGCAATTGCATTTATTACTCTCTAAATAAGATGCAAAATAATTTGGAACAATTTATTCTTGTTTGTCTTGATTCTCCATTAAACCAATTATATGTTTATCTTGAAGAATTTCAGCGTCTAATGAATTGCGTAAAACATTTCAATGAAGTAGATTCTTGTATGGATTACATTACAAATATTACAAATGAAAAAATATTCTGGATTATCTTTGTTGAACATGCTTCAGTGATACCATTGATGTATCATTTACGACAGATCTATTCCATTTATATTTTCAATTTCAATTTATGTCAAGCAACAACTGAAGATACTGCCAGTTTTCGAAAAGTTCGCGGTCGATTCGAAAAAATGAATGAATTAATGAAGCAAATAGAATATGATAAAAAGTCTCTTGTGCAAAATTTGCTAACAATAAATAATTTTCCAAAATATACTCTAGGATCATCTAGTGCGCTTCATCAAACGGATAATAACAATCTACAAGAAGCAACATTCATGTATTCTCAAATAATACGTGATGTTTTTATTCATGAAACATACACCGACAATGAAAAGACTGAAATGATTGAATTTTTTCGAGAACAATACAATACAAACAAAGTTGAATTGGAAAAAATAGATAAATTTGAACGAGATTGTATATCAGAACGTGCTATCTATTGGTACACTATCGATAGTTTTCTTTATCGTACAATTAATAAAGCTCTACGAACACAGGACATTATCACTCTTTATTATTTACGGTATTTTATCAAAGATCTTCATTTAGAACTCAAGAAGTATCATACAAAACAACATTCAAATTCAGCAGAAAAAACATTAGTTGTTTATCGAGGACTCGGATTACCCAATGATGAATTTGAAAAATTAAAAAAAGGTTATTTGATATCATTTAGTGAATTTTTATCGACAAGTAGAAAACGAGAGCTAGCAGAAATTTACGTTCAACAAGGAGTCGATGATATACAATCGATTCTTTTTGAAATCGAGCTAGATTATACTATTCAAACGTCAACTCCATTTGCTGACATATCTGAACAAAGTCAATTTAATTTAGAAGAAGAAATTCTCTTATCAATGGGCAGTGTTTTCCGAATTCAATCTTTAAATCGTATTTCAGAGAATATTTGGAATATTCGACTGAGTCAAACCTCAGATGAAGATCAACAATTGAAGCAATTATATCAGTGGTTAAATGCTGCCATATTTAAAGTGAATCATCTTCATACAAAATTAAGTTCTTTGATGTTATTTGTGTATGATTATGAAAAAGCTGAATATTTCTTAAAGAAAACAATGGCCCAACCAGGTTATAGCCAAGATATAAGAACTCTTGGTGCGACATCTTCGATATTCGGTGAAATTTGTTTTCATCAAAATAATTATGAAAAAGCTGAAATGTTATATCAAACAACAATTGAATTATTTGAAAAAAATCCAGAAAAAAACGAACCATCAACTGTACAAAGATGCTATACGGGTCTCAGTGAAATTTATTTAGAAAAAGCACAATACATGAGAGGTACGAAATGGATGATTTTGCGATAATTTAAATCTCGTAAAGAAAATTTTTTTTTAGAGCGTATCAAAACTTTTCTTTTTCTTCTTAATCTTCATGACCATTCGGCGATCTTTTTCTGCTTGCAATGCCCATCCTTTAAATTAGATTTGTATGCGTAACAGAACTTTGTTTTTCAGTTGCAAATTCATTTATTTACTAGTTTTTGAATAAACTTTGCCTTAGTTAAGATTTGTTGAGTGACATTATTATCTCGTAATACCGGATATCTATGTTCTCAAAACACGAAACATAATGGAGCATTCAACAGAAATATATTCACTTCTATCGTATTGCTACCAGTTTTAGGAGTAACCTCTTCCAGTACCATATGAATGGTCTGCACTACAAGAATGATCGCTTTTCTTCGGGATAGTATTCAGAAGGTAATGATATTATCCGTCTAAAAAACAACTACATATTCAATGGATTTTATGTATTCCTGCAGGTGAAATGACTTCGTTACATCAAATCTAATCGATTTTCTCAAGCTTAAAGAGTTTTAGTTTGAGTATAGATAATGAACTCATTACTCGTTTTTGTATGTTATGTTATATGAAACTGAAGTCATCTGACTACACCGTAGAATAATCCATCTTATAGAGTATTCCACCGGTTATATTTTGTATATATATAATTATTTAAGAATCCATTTTCAATGTGCGATTACGAATAGCTAAATTAATTCTATTTTCATTTTTCAGCGTTAGAGTATAGTCAAAAGTCTCTTCAGATAATACTTTCGGACAATTATATGAAAACAATTGATCTTCTATTAGCCACACGTTATAATAACATTGGATACATTTATTGTAAACTTGAAAATACGGAACAAGCATTACATTATATTCAGAAGGCATTAGATTATACAAGATCATTACCATCCAATATTCCATTAATATCACGAATTTTTTGTAATCTAACAGTGACTTATGAACAATCTGAAAATTACTCAAAATCAGAATTCTATTGGAAAAAAGGTCTCGAACATCATCTTCAATCCATGCCAAATAATACTGATGCTACGGCTTCTCTCTTTCAAGCAGTTGCAATAACTTTAGCCGATCATCAGAAATATGCTGAATCTATTGAATATCTTAAAAGATCATTGACAATTTGCAAAAATCAAGAACAGATATTATTATTTTCTTGTTATAAACATTTAGCAACTGCCTATAATGGTCTAAAAGAATTTCAGACAGCTGATAAATATTTGCAAAAAGCAATCGAAATAGCACATACTCTATCATCTATTGATTTGAGCCCTATCTATGTCGATAGTGGCAATAATCATTACCAAGCTCAAAACTATCAACAAGCACTTCTATCATATGGTAAAGCGTTAGAATTTTCTCAGCTTCATAATAATCTTTCAACACATTTGAAAATATTTATTGTCTATACGATACAAAATGAGTCGACTCATGCATTGAACTATTATGAACACAATATTCGATCGCGATTAGCAGAAATGACTGTAAATGATCAAATAATGACATATTACTATATTGGAGTGAACTATTATGATGTCAAGAATAATGATAAAGCATTAAAATATTTTAAAAAAGCACAAGAATTAATTCTATCTGATAAGTCAAATACGTCATTCAATTCATTTCTGGTAGACATATTCAAAAAAACTGGAATTATTCTTTTCAAAATGGGTCAATGGTCGGAAGTCGGTGCATATTATACCAGATTATTAGATTATCAACCAACAGCAGAGACATATCTAAATATTGGATTGGTTCATTTCAAACAGGAAAATTTTCACATTGCATTGGAAAGTCTCCAGAAAGCATCTGAATTAGCTAAGACTACTGGAGCTTTATCAATTCTAGCGGTAGCAACACAGTACATTGAATTATGCCGAAAAACATTAACTTGAACATCTTATTTATTCATTTTATGCATTTTACAGGTTCATAGAACATCATTCTGTTCAAAAAAGCAGTTTATGTTCTTTCTATTAATAACTGTGGGATGTGGACTTTATCAAACACTACATCCGCACGTACAAATTAATAATTGAAAATTGGCTAGAATATGATCGAAGAATATTGTTTGAGTAATTCAATTCAATGAAGTTGTTTGATAGTAGCCTTAAGAATTATATAAGGCAAAAATGTAACAAATCAAATAAAATAGAACAGCTCGTAAACAGTCATGAATCACTCAATAAGGCTGCTTGTGTTGTCAATAAAAGAGTATTCTTATTTACAACTATTGATACATATCAAAATATTTCCTCTGATTTCAGTCTTAAGGTACTGTGTTCTAGATACAGATTGATCAATTCCTATATAATATTGCCGATCGGCGTGGCCACGCATCGGGTGTGGATGGGTGTGGGTGTGCGGGTGTGGGTGTTCTCTTCATCCTCTGCTGAATCCACACCCACACCCACACCCTTGAGCTCAAATTCTTGCTGATTGTTCTCCCATGTTTGATACATCATCCACCACTGCATCATCTCGTGCCGATGAGCACAGCCGGTGCTATGAGTCTCCTCAAAACCCAAGTTTTGGGACCCAAATCCCTGTTTTTGAAAATAAGACAACTTTTTGGTGCAAAGCTAAGGTGATATTCGAAATCAGCTCAGCGAGTTGCATCTAATGATGTATAGTAAAAGGCGTTTTTTTTTTAAATTTTTGATTATTATGAAGTAAAAGCTTAAAAATTGAGTGATATCGTATTTTTCGAACACTACAAACAGTTTTCATCTAGTTAAGCTAAAGTCTTGGCAAGTTATATATCCCCATTTTAATTGATCGTTAGCTATGTACGTCCCATTGTATCAGCGTTCATAGATTAAGCCAGAGATTCTCAAAAAACCCTGATTTTTGTCCTAAATCCCTTTTTTGTCATTAAAACAATATGTTAGCGAGAAATGAAGACAATATTCGCAATCAGCACGTAAAACTGCGTCGAATGGTGTGCGGCACAATATATTTTCTAATAAAAGAATTTTTCGAAAAACTTGGCAAGGGGCCTCCACGGGTGTCTTTTCGGGAAAATTTCTTTTTCAAAAACTAGTTTATTTTGTTTAACGTGATTTTTGGAAGTGATATATAACTCGTTCTGACTAGTAAAAGTCCGTTTCGAAGCAACAAAATTACATGTCCGCCTGCTATGCGGAAGTTGCCCACTGTGGGGGAGGGGGGAGAGGGGCTTAATAAAGATATTTTGGTATATTTTACCTATAAACTTGGTTTAGCATCTTTCCCATCAAGGTCTCACGGAACTTGATAGGAATTTTTTGAGAAGACACCACTTAGCGATATTCCATTTATATTTGCTCATAGCCTGACAGATTATTTGAGGAGTATTGCAGTGTATAAGAAACCAGCTAAAATACCGATAAAGCCTTAAGTATAGGGAAGCTCAATTGATATTTACGAAAACTTATTAGATTTTAAACAACTGGAAATTTTTTTTTCAATTTAAATGTACGAAATTTAAATTTAAAATTAACATAAATTGACAGAAAAGTGACACCCGTATCTTTTTAGCAAAGTTAAAGTAAGGAGAGGTTAAGATGTCAAATACTTTCTTTTCCTTTTTTTTGTCTTAGATTCATCGCTATTAATAAGGACGATGAGCAGCGTCTTTGTTTTGGCGTTTTTCACTTTCTTTAGATAGTTTTTTTATAGTAACATCTATATTTGGATTGTTTTTTTCAATTTTTTGTAATTATGTATTCTTCATGTGATAGGGGCTTTTTATGCTGGAGTTGAGTGCTTTAGCAGCACCTAAACCATTAAAATTGCCTTTTCAGTTAGAATATGCTTAGAATGAGATAGTAGATGTAGATAACGACCTCTTTCCCACATCAATGAGATTAGTATTCCTCAGGAAGAAGAGCAAAATTTCCTATTCGTCGAGAGTAGATAAAAGAACGAAAATGGATAAAACGTGTAACATATTGAATACACAATCACATTACCTGAAGAATATTCGACATGCAGCGCTTCAATCATTTTCACGTATCGTATTATCTTTTATGTCGCCATAAATAAAAATAAAACATGTGTTCGATTCTCTCAAAAAATTACTCTAGTTCGAAATTCATCAAGTTTTCAGCTTAATTTTTTCTACATAAAAAACAATTTACTATTTTTTTACTTCCTTCTAAAAGCTTCTAAAGAAATAAAGCTCATTTTCTTTTTTTACTGAAGATGATATACTTTCACCAATTTTCTTTGCAGTTCTTATTAGGTTAATTAGTTCAAATTTCAAAAAACATCAATAAAACTGAAAAAAAATTAAAAAGGAAGGTTAGAAACAACACAAAAAAACAAAAAAATCATTTTTTTGTGTTCAATATTAATAAAAAATTGGCTTATCATTTTTCTTTTTGAAATGCTAATTTTCTTTGGTTCTTTTTTGTTATAACTATTGTAGATTCAATCTTTTCATTCATTCAGCATCCCACTTCCACACCCAAATCAGCAGGCATTTTTATTGAAAAAATATTCAATGGTTGAGAAACAACCTTTGCTGAAGACACACAGCAAATTGTCTATTGGTGATGATGATGGTGATAATAATGTAAACAAGAAACAGTTTTTGATCAATAGGTATGTGTTTATATATAAATCACTTTGAAACACATACAATGAACATATTATTGCTTTTAGTTTTACTGATTGGCACCAATGTTTCAGTAGAAAACACAGGAATGATAAATACAGCATATTAGATGATAATAATAAATGTAGTGATAGAGATGAAGCAGTTAGTATTCTTCAATTAGTAAGTATATACAGAAAAAATTCATACTGATTGATGCATTTTATTCAATTATAGTTTCGATTTGCAAATCGTATCGATTTAGTTCTGATGTTCATTACTTCTTGTCTGATACTGTTGCATGCGGTTGGCATTCTTGCTACCAAAGTTCTGTTCGGTCGGCTAATAGGATTATTTGCTATTAAATCATTTGATGATTATTGTAATGACCAACACCAAAATTTAATTCACACGATTAAAAACAACAACACAAATTCTCAAGGCAACGATTGTAATATATTCAATTATGCTTCGTCGTATAAGTAACTCACTAAAAACGATTATTAATGACTGTGTATTTCTTCTATATTATTGTGGTATGTTTTTATCTTAGAGTGCGCAGTAACAGTGATGCAATTTTGTTATCAACCATAGGCACATTAATGCCTTCGTTCGAAGAAAAGGTTATGAACATAGTTTACTGGTTATTCAGTGAGTGAAGTGAACGTCATAATTTGATAATAACAAGTAATGAGAAATGTCTTTATTTCTCGATGCATGTAGTTAGTGGTGCGGTCGAATTTTTGACTCGCTTGATTGACAATATCTTTTGGGAAATCAGTGTTAAACGACAAATATTTCGGATGGGTGCTTCTCTCTTCCGATCATTGGTTCAACGCGTGAGTCAATTACACTTTCAATGACAAATAAAAGATTTCTCAAAGTTTAATCCCAATCTTTTCTTAACATTAATATAAACTTAAAACACCTCATACTCTTTCTTTTTCGAAATCCTCACCATCAATTAATTAGCAATTCTCACAAATCCATGAAATAACTTAAAATGTCTACATAAAAGTAACACACACTTCGAGATACCTATATCTCCAGAAGTTCTAGATCTGAAAGTAAGCCCAGGTGATTCAATCCGACCTGTAGATCCTACCGGAAACTATCGGATCCGATGTCGGATCACACCGGAATTCGTCGGGTTTCCAACTAAATCCGATCAGAACCCAACCGTATTTCACAGGATTCCTAACTAACGGATTCCGGACCGGATTACGTCGGAAAGAATCCGATCGGATCCTGTCGGAACTGTTTGTAAGATAATGCCGTAACCACCAGGATCCTTTCACAGAGAAACGCCTGATAACGTAAGGCTCCGACAGAATACAGTCGGATTTCATCAGAAGTTGACTGAATCTGTTTCGATTGCACAAGGATTCAATCAACATTTCACACAGATTTCATTCTAGCATTCTCAAAATTTCCAAAGATTTGCTAGAGATTTCTGACAATTTCATCCAATTTTCCTCAAGATTTCTAAAGATTTCCCCAGCATCTCATCGAGATTTCTGAAGATTTCCCAAGGATTTCATCAAGATTTATGAAGATTTCCCAAGGATTTCATCAAGATTTCTAAATGCTTGTCCAGGATTTCATCCAGATTTCTGAAGATTTCACGAAGATTTACCAAGGATTTCATCAAGAATTCTAAAGATTTTCCAAAGATTGAATCGACATTTTGAACAGATTTCACCAGGATGTTATCAAAATTTCTAAAGATTGTATCAGGATCTCATCAAGAGTCTAAAGGATTTCAACTGTTTCAACTGGGATTATTCCCAGAATCCAACAATGTATATACTACGATCCTTCTTAAAATTGAACAATGCTTGTACTAAGATTCTTCCTAATATATAGAACTTAGTTATACAAAATGGCAGAATTCACTTGATATATGAAAGTAGAGACTTCCTTATATAGTTCGATATCTGTAAAACAAAACGGTGAATGAAATCTGGACAAAATCGGATTTCCAGATTTTTGATTTTGTTGTTGGAAATTTGTAAAAAGAGGAATATTTAATAAATAAATAAATTATTTGATTGATCTGTCAGAATATATTCTAATTCATGAATCCAATTGCGTGGAAAACATAATTGTATAAGGAAAACAAATCAT